TGGTTAAGGTTTACCAGAATTTGCTTAACTGGAAAATGAAGGTGACCTATGGTCTATTTTTCTGTAAACATCAACAGGAAAATCTCTCTTTAGAGAGCAAAAAAAGAAAAACCTCCACACTTAGAAACACAACTCTTGTTAACATAAAATTTACTCACATTATCTGGAAGTCAACACCTGATGGTTAATATTTAGGCATCAAAGCACAGCATGCTGAAGAGTATTGAGTTGACACAGCACCACGAGTATTTACTAGCTGAGGACTGTCAATGTTTTAAAGCAGCAGCAAGGCTGGTGTCCCACCACACACAGCAAATCACTGGTGCTTGTCAGACGCAGCTGCCAAGAAACCTTTCTCGCTTCAGAAATAACAGGCTAGTCCAGCATGATTTCAGCTGCACAACTGAAATCTTCAAAGGATGTTGATGCTGTCAGAGGTAAGCCCAGGGCATTAAGGAACTAGTGGGGATAGGGTTAGCCCAAAGGATACTGGTGCACCCTTCCATGGAATACAGATGGTCAGGAATTTTACAGTATACATTTTTCATCAAAAAACACCAGTTCCAACATGTCACTTGATGACTCCTCTAACAAATCTCTCACTAGATCCCACTAGCTCACTTTATCTAGCTCTTTGGCAAGCCATCAATGTCAATCACCCTAAACTACCCTGACATGGAGCCTATCTTCAGGCTACAGGCTTCAGGCTTTCAGACTCACTGGCTTCCAGGGATGATCAGCACTCATCCAGGGAAAACCACCTTCCACAGCAGTGTGCATGCAATTGCTAAGCTCTGACACCTCCGTACCTGTTGAGCTGAAGTGAAAATACATCACATTTACCTCACAAGCTGGACTAATTTTGACCATGCTTGTTTGTAAAATAAGCCCACAAAATAATTCAACCTCTTACTGTGCCAACAATTTTTAGTAGCTATTTATGCATGAAAACAAATGAAAGAAACCTACTGAAACTCCCTCAATGCTCCTCTGTCCAATACTGCTCCTGCTGCAAAACACCTCTTCTCTCAAATTTCTCGTAACCACTATCCCCAGGCCCTGCCATGTTTGCTACCTCACAAGCTGCCACCTGGTAGAGGGAGAACAACTTCCATGCCTGTTCGATAATTCCTGCCAAAAGAGAAAGCCTTTCCCTTCCCTCGTCCATAGCACAGAAAGCAAGAGCTTTGACCTAGCAAGACAACTAATCATGAGTATAGAAACAGTAACACCTTAGCACGTGAGACCTTCATCCTCTGTCTGACAAGAAACCAGCCAAAGGGCACAGGAATGACAAGGAAGAGACAGGGGCTATCTAGGGAACAGCACATTCACATGGAGACAGGGCAGTTAGACATGCCTCATTTCCTTATGAAACTGGGCTAAAACTCATAAAACATGCAGAACTCTTCAATAATAGGAGTGCTATTTTGAGCTAATGTTTTTGAGACACTTAAGTCAATCTGCATTTAATTCACATTTTGCCAAGGAAGTACTTCGCTTTTCCTTTGCTGCCTGCATACACAACTAAATCAATACAGTTTTTAAACATTACATGCTGCAAACCTTCAAAGGGAAGAGACAAAGCAATATAATCCTCTTCCAAATTTAGTTGGCTGATCAGGGGAAAGTTCACTAAAGACAGAAAATAACAATATATCAAGCTGTAAAAATTTTCTTCGGGTGAAGCAGGAACTCGCCAATCTCATTTTGTTTACCATCCTGAAGAGACCAAACACGTGTGCACACGTGCTTAGATGCACTGGAGAGAATTTCAAAGCTCAAGATACTCAGGTAATTCTAAATAAATTCTTACATTAAGAGAAAAAAAAACAAGTTAAAGAAATTCTCTAAAGCTTCACTATTGTAGCATATAATTCCTCACCAATGCAGGAACCTTGTCACTGGTTCTAGGCAAGCCAATGGTGGACTAACAGAATAATTCATAATAGGTTCTCATTTTCTACAGTTCGATTACTGCAGTCTGATTATCTTTACCAAGAACCATTAAGTAGAAAATAGCATGCTAAATCCCATTGTTTCAGAAAAACCCTAATTTCTCCTGATCCTGTGTGTACAAGTACCACACCACAAGGATCCAGCTGCTCAGCTCCCCAAGACAGCAGGAAAGCAAGAAATATTGCACATATTGCCATATATATAGCCTTTCTACACACACCAGGACTACAGGAGATGGGACAGTTTGTTTAATTATTTGAAAGAACATTTGGTCAACTCAGCAAAACTCTTGAACTTCAGGTTATCTCTGTGTCTGGAATGAAATAAGGACTTGAGCCTCATCCCTACCAAACAAAAACCCTTTTGAGAAGCCTTGTTCACTGTAGAACTTTTTATACTAGGATAACTCTTTCTTGAGGTGGACTACTGGATTTATATGCCTGTTTGCAGATGAAAACATAATTCTTTTTTTCTAATGTTTCAACATAAGTACATACTATCTAAGCATAGAATTAGACAAATTATCTGGGGTAAACTAGACTCTGAAATCACAGTGGTGATTTCCTGCAGATATCTATATGATTCATCTTCTCACACTCGAACATATTATAAAACCTAAGGAAACTTGAAATGAATCAAAGGGATTTGGGTTTTTTTTTTGTAAGATGGCTTGTAAAACTGCATATTAAACATGGCAATCTACAAATAGTCATATGAGCCATTGTTCCTACAGGGCAAAGGTGCCTTTCATAACATGTTAAATCACAATATACAGAAATACTTCTAAGTGCACTCACTGAACTTTGAAGTTTTGCCACAATTCTTAGTCAACATGATCAGGTTGTTTTACCTCATTTACATACTGTATTTGCCAGTAGACATTACCTGATCAAAGAATCATTTTGGACTTCTCCAACCAGCTTCATTGCTCCGCCAGAGATAAATATAACTACTCACAAATGGGAAAAAAAAAAATTTAAAAAAAACCCGGCGACTCCTTTCTGTCAAAAAACCTGAAACTGACTTTGGAGACTCACCATGCGTATGGTAAAGTTCTTCTAACATAATGTGAAAACTCACATTCCATGGAGTGTAAGAAGTTATTCATGAACCTTATTTTTAGTAAAATTTTAATAAAAATGATGCTTTGCATTTTCACATTCTGAAGAGCTAGAAATACAGAAACGTATTTACATTTTATAACAAAAATGTACAAATTACTATACAAAATTCAGTACCATCTCATGAAAAACAAGTTTTGAAAGTTCTAGCAGTTAGGATATTATTAAGCCTATATTTCTGAAGAGATACCACTTTAAAGACTAAATATCAATAACTGAACAGTTATATTCTTCAGGTTAATAAAAAATGCTTTCATGACAATTATGACTATCATTACTTTCAATTTTGGCTGATACAAATATAACCTCATAATAAAAGCTGCTGAATTTATAACAAGTCAAAGCCAATATATATTCTTTCCCTTGAGGTTTTTGCAACAGAACTTTTTGAAATGAGAAAAGGATAGAAACTTCTAGAAAATAAGCCTGGCAAGAAATAAGTTAGTTTTACAAAACCCCTGTATTTGTACACACTCAAACACAGCAGATGTTTACAGTTATTTCAGTATTACACATAGGGCAATCAGTGTATGCTATCTGATACAGATGTTCTAGAGTGGAAATGGTTCACAGCACAAGCTGAACCCCTGGAATGGCAAATTTCAATTCACATTTCTAGTTGAAACATGCCAGCATATTCTGATATGCAAAAGGAAAGCTGAGACACTTTTACTTCTAAAAATATGGGACATCATACTGTATAGAAAAAAATTTTCAAACATCAGCTCAGTCAGACCCTTAACTACTGCTTAAATCAGCAAGGAACTAATCTAGTGACATCTCTGCGTTTGGGTGCCTGAATTGTAAAATGATGCTGATTCACACACTTTGTGTATGGATCAATCTGATTCTACCAGGAATTCAGACTGGGTGATCACTGTGATACCTGGAGTATAACTTAAGCCACATAGTGGGTGTAATTCTGATAACAAACAGGTAAGAATCTACTGCAGTTTATTTAATGTAGTGATGACTAATGCAAGCTCCCTACATTATTCCATGACCTTTAAAAAGCTGATAGCTGCTTATTGATTTGAAAGCAAACCCAAAGAACAGATATCAGTTTACAAAGTATTCTGACATCAATATATCTACTGTGGTTGTACTGGAGAAGTGACAGAAAAATGTTTTGATTTGAACACTGACAGCTTTTACCAAATGTTCCAGGATCATACAGTTACTCTTAAATGGGGCTGTGTAAAAGTTTTAATCTTATTTTAATCGAAAGGGGGAAAAAACCCACAGCAATCAGTTCAAATTAATATAAAGAAACACTACTGAAGTGTCCAAACGGTTTTCACATTCATTTGAACCCATGACTCTGAAAAGGTGAAACATCCTGGTCTCAAACATGTATGGTCCAACTAATCTCATGTTAAATACTTTGTTACTTTCACCCATGAGTATACTGTATGATTAGTAGAAAATCTTTAGCAGACACAAAAAAAATGAAAGATGAGACTTGCAGCAAAAGAGCATGGCAAACCTGAGAGATCTATTAGTGCATAAATCTGCTTAAAAACTAAAAAGATAGAAAGAGAGAGCTAACAAACTACAATAAAAGTTATGTCTTTAAAGCAGTAAGTTATAACAGGGTGGGAAACGTTTAATATGCACATATGCCTGCAAAGGGGTCACTATCTTTCTGAAAATAAAGAGCTGGTATTTTTCACAGCATCAGATTTATGGTAAAAAGCCATAAATAGTAGTTTTTAGTATTATGCTTTTCCCACCCTGGCAGAGAATAAACATGAATTTAGAAGCACAGTAGAAGTGAAAAACAAAGAAGAGGAGAGATAGAAAGCAGCAGAGAAAGACAGAAAAGGTGAATACAGAGCTACAGAAGTGTTTATTGAGCATGCTACAGAGGTAAGCAGAGTACACACAAAATGAAATTAAACAACCATCAAACCTCCCAACTTTGTTAGAAAATTAATTTTTAATTGTGCCACTTTCAAACTATACTGAATTTTACAATTCTAAAGATGTAAAAACTCAACTAATATAAAATATACATGACCTTTTCTTTTTCTACATAGATAACAGAATCTATGAATCTTCAAACTAAGTACATCAATTTCAAAAAGTATTGGTCATTTAAACAGAATCAAGATAACAGTTCAGACTGACAGAGAACTGCTTTCAAATTAACTGGATCTGTAGATTCTGAGCCATGTTTATAGTAAAGTCAGATCAATTTCTAAATACAAAATATTTTGAAGAGATTTATTAAAACTGAATATTACAATGCAAGGTAAATTAAGACTAAAGGCACATAAACTTTGGTCCCACCTGGTTGTCAGTTTTAGGAAACTGCCACAAAATTTCCTGCAAGCATCTGCAGCAAACTTCCTTCGTCATCGAAAAATACATGCACCATTTCCTGAACTAGCTTGACCAGTCTGTACATGCTCAGAAATCCACAACCATATTCCATATCTTAATTACAAACTAAAGATGGCAATATATATTGAAATGCACATAAGTCATGTCAACTTCAAAAACATCTACGAAAAATATTCAGCCACAAACAAGACATTACTTAGTGCTGACATTTATATGATACATCCCACAAGAGTGTGTACAAAAAGGTTAAGATTCCACAATGCTTTTCACATAGGGCTCAAAGTCACAGAAGTCACTTTTTGTCCTTTAAGAAATTAATATTCTGTACCTTGTTAATTTTAACTAATGCCTACATTCATAACTGAATCTAGACCAGAACAATGAAATACAAAAGGCCTTTAAAAAAGAAAAAAAACCACAAAGCAAAAAGTAGCAAAAAAACCAAATTAGGTCATTTTACTCTTTCAGTATAATGCATCTTATCCAATTAAAAAGAAAAATAAGTGACAAGCCAGCAGATAAAGAAATCTATCAAACAAGAGAAACAAAAACTTAACCTTTTTACACACCCCACCTAAACATATTTAAATTATCATGTAACAATGTGCCCCAGACAACCAAATTTGCTTCTTACTAGTTATGCAATTTCAGCAGTACTAGTTTTCCTTTTTAAGGCACGTACGTCAACTAAGTTGAAAAACTGTGGTATTAACTTGAAAACTTTTAAACAAAACGATGGTTTATCTAAACAACAGTTGAACTACAGCAGTTAATATCACTGCTTTTTTTTATTTATTTTTTTTTTATTTTTTAAAACAATCAAGGAATGATAACAGCATGAAAAAAATAAAAAAAACAGAAGACAAACTCTGGTCCCCACTTTCCTGAACAGTCAATAGGTGACAACACCAAACAATGCAATACACCTTCATTCTCAATCTGCCTTTTTAAATAGTTGACTTAGAGAAAGAAACTCTCAGATGGTGACTCTCTCCCAGATTGTAATTGTGAAGATCAATCAAAGCCTGAATAGCTTCTTCTACTGTTGACATCTGAAGGAGTGCCATCTTGTGATCTCTTCTGAAACAAAATAATGGAATTAGGAACTCGAACACTACAGGGTTGCTCCTCAAGTTTGCTATTTGATATGTAATTTTTCTTAAGATGTGCAGCAAAAGCTTTTTTGTTAAGAGTTATGTGCAGGAAAGGTACTTACTGAAAAAATTTAAATGCTTTCACAGTGCCTCCAGTGTTAGCAAACAATGTGCGTAGATCCTCTTCTGCTACTGATGGTCTACAGAGAAAGAAAACGAGCATAAGCAGGAAATCATCAGTCAGTGTGTTGTGATTCACATTTATATTACTGCATTACTGACATGAACACTTACGGAATATTGGACAGATGAAGTGTTGCAGAAGGAGGGAATATATTTTGAAAGTTTTTTGAACCAGGTTTCTTGAAACGATGCAAAGGTGAATTGCCAAAATCTTTAGTCAGCCCTTGGTCATCAAGTCCCTCTCGAGGTAGTTGTACTGTCTGATGTTTAGAAAGGGTAACCCGAATAATCTTTCCATACATTTTTTGTCCATTAAGATGGCTCATGGCTGAAAAAGACAAGTTTATCCAATTGAGCATTACTTTTCAATAGCTTGTGGTACATCACACAAGCAAAGTAGAAAAACACCCAAGCAAATCAAAGGGCCAATGTGCTAAAAGACTAGAATCAAGAACTAGGTCTGCAGACTCTAGTAAATATTTAGTTTTATTTAAACATCATCACATGTGATTCAGCTGTTGAATTCAGTTAGGCTACAGTGCAGACCTCCTGAAACACAAGTGCATGCAATAAGATTTTGGATCTTGTGGGTAACCAGAAGGAAAGACAAACTGACAAATGTAAACATGCTTAGTTCACCTGTTTTTACACAGCCTAATTTCCCAGTGCTTAGACTAATAGGAATAAACAGAAAACTAATCTTACCCAGCTGTGACTGGTTTCCATCAGCCATCTGTATAAGAGCACTATCTTTCTTATTGTATAAAATCTTCACACGCTGCACATCACCATAAACGCCTTTTCAAAGTCAAAAGTAACCCAAAAGAAAAAGTTCATTTTAAAGCCAGTCACCTAAGTAATATATTTTGACATATCAATGGAACATTCAGACAGCAACAAGATCACTCACTCAAACTCAACACACTCACAAATGAATAAAGGAGATAAAGATTTTGAATAGTGAATTTTGAAAAGAATAATTTCTGATAAACCCTCAAAGCTATGTGAATGATATTAAATTAAAGACCATGCAAAATATATTAGCATGCATTAAAAGAAAATCTGTGTCTATGGAGAGTTTTAAACAGCAAAAGAAAAATAGCAAAAGATTTACTCTTCAACTTTAAGCCAAAGGGCTAGCTACAAATAAGAATTAAGGTGAAACAAAAAAACCAACCAAACAGAAACCATAAAAACCAAAACCAAATCAATAATAAAAGTATAGTGCTAACAATAACATACCGAAGAGGGTAAACAGACTTTGGGGCGTAACCATCTTTAGAAGGAGAGAAGAGCAAGCAGCGTAAGACAAGAAGAGATTTTTTTCGGAGATGAACAGATCATCCATAACGAAGGGTGGTTCCCGCAGAATGGTGAGGTGGTCATGGATCATGGTTTCAAGGCGGTTAATTGGGGCAAGTTGGTCCGAGGAACATTTTGTTCAAGCACAGAAGCATGAACATAGGGAATGAAGACAGGGAACGTAGACAAAGATGAGGAGAAGGGTAAGACAGGGAAGGGCACGGGAATTTGGGTAAAGACAAGGAAAGGGAAGTTGAACACAAAGGGAAAAGGATGAAATGGGGGAGGGAATACAGCAATGCAGAAGAAAAAAAAATAAGGAAGTGGGGAACAAAAAAAAAATAAAATATAGGTCAGTACATAGGAAATGCAGGAATTTGGTCAGAAAATGGTTGGTTTATGTACTGTACAAGAAAAACTGAGTAAAATGTAGTCACCCAAGACAAATATGGGTAAAGTACATTCATATTAAGAGTAAACTACAGTATTTCATCTCAACATGAAAATAAAATTAAAAAAAGCATGCAATAGAAATTTTAAAATTTAAACTTTAATTGCGTAAGCATGGCTGGTTATGAAATGCAGGCAAAAAATCTTTCAAAATGGCACTCTGATCTAAAACATTTTAACATGCAAGACTGTGGATGACAGAATAGTACCAGATGATAAAAAAAGCTTAATGATTTACAGTGACAGAGGCCAGTTAAAAATGGAACAGCTAGACTGATACAAACTTCCCACATTTCATACCAGCTTTCACAGCCATCAAAATAAATGTAAAGGACAGTAAAAATGCAAAACTAAATTAAACCCTTAAGATTTCAGAGTTAGCAAGAAAGATACAGCTAAGGTGAAAATGCTCTGCCACCACCTTTTTTCTTTTTTTTTTTTTTTTTTAAAGACAAATGTGTAACTGCAAAGAAAAAAAATTACTAAGAGAGACTGGAAGAGTGCCTTGTCAAGATCTTTGGGAGAACCTTCAAAGAAAAATGTGTTAGAGTAGTTCACATAAATTAAGACCTTAAAATGTGAGATACAAGCATGAAATGAAACAGCAAACAATTAAAAACAAAACAGAAATTCTTGTTTACATGATTATAATACCAAAAGAAAGCATAGTTGCCATTTTGCAAAAATAAAGCTTTCGATTTCAATGTCAAACATGCAGTAGTTATCCACATTTTTCTTGGAAAAAACAGGTAGCTAACTATTACAGGTTATTGAAAGTTGTTAGCTACCTGTAAAAAAAAATGCATTTAACACTAATGACTTTGAAATTAACTTTGGGAGATTATTAAAAAAAACCAAACAAACCAACAAAAAATACTTTGAGCTTAAAATCCAAATGTAAGAGGGCAAATGCAAAGAAATTATAAAATACTGACAAATGAAGTGTGACTAAAGGTGGCAGGGGGAAGTAAAATTGTTTTACTGACCTCTTCATTCAAATTGCTAACCAGGAGGACTGTATTGCTACCAGCTGAAACTCCAGGCATTCCCACACGGCCAGCAGCAGCAGCTGCAGCTGCAGCAGCAGCATTTGGAATAGCCAAAGGACTCAGAGCTCCTGGAACAGCTGCAACAGGAAGCCCTAATTTTAAAATAAAGCATATTTTACGAAACACACACAAGTCGTTTAAAAGCAAAGTTCCTATGTCAGTACAAGTGTTGCACAGAACACTCCACAAAGCAGACCATTCCACTGTTAAAAGTCATCCACAGGGCTGCAAAATGCTGCTGAATTAACATAGGGAAGAGAAATATGGAAAATTTTTTATTCAAATCAAGCCTAAAAAGTGATGAAGTGCAAGAAGTACTTGCTTTCAAATAAACTTTATTGTGCACCAAAACTCTTTCCACTGCATTCCAAAATGCTTAAAAGTGTCTAGTTTATCAAAATGGTCTAAAGTAAATGCTGATTAAATCTGTAAGAATAAACACTCTGCCTCTTTATTTTGTCACCCTTTGAGAGACATTTTGCACTTCAAGTGGATGCTTGACTGAACATACAGCACTGGAGGTGGTCACATGAAAAGGTGTGTTTATCTCTCACAGCCTTAATACGAGGTGAGGAGGCAACCTTCTAAATTCAAGATTCAACATGCTCTGTGGCTTTTGCTATCCAGTTCTCTGAAGGAGCATGTTACTGTTAGCTAAACCTTCAGTTGTACTTTTACTTTTCTTTTTCCAAGGAAACTCAGATCCTGTAGAGATGTGTTGGTTCTGCCTGATCATGTCACTGGGATACCAGGCAAGTGTGCTATTCCCAGGATTCATGAAAGGTTCTTGTGATACATATGCCCTATAAATAGTTTATGCAGGAACAGCTTTATCATATTTGATCAACACTGCATTTGCACATTGCACAAAGTTCACTAAAAGGACACTGATGTAGCAAAATATTTTTCCAGGACACTAAGGCATGACAGATGTCCACCTGAAGGAAAACAACTTATTTCATACTAGGTCAATAGCAATCACTTAAGTTTTAGAAAATGTCATGGTAATAGAGCATATTACATCATCTACTATGTGAAGGCAAACTCTCCCTAACCTTAGAAGCTTTTAGCCAACCCAGCATTTTTAGGAATAAAGGAATCTAAAGATAACCAGGAGTTTTTATGGCTCTTTCCATAGCTGGGCACAGCACAGCTGAGTAATTCATACTTCAAAAGGCAAAATGCTTCATAGCATCAGACTGCCCACAGGACAGTCTTTGGTCCCACTGAAGACATTAAAACCAAAGATTAATTCAACACCATTCCTACAAAAATGTTTTTAATCATTATCCTTCAAAATGACTAAGAGGAATCTTAAAATGTGGCATTAGTGGAAATTGATAACAAAGAAAGCCAATGATGACAGCAAGGGATAAAGTTGTGGGACTTCTAAGCACAAGAACGTAGTTCCAGCTGTAATATTAAACAATATCTAAATTGGGGTTAAAGTATTATTTCGTGTTAGTATTTGTAATTATAAGTAGTTCTTACATAAAATATTTTGTTTGTTGTGATTCAGTCTAATACAGCTGTTGTTTATCCAAATATTTTTTTTCTGTAAGATCTCCTGCAACTTTTTTGGGGGGAGAAAGAGGAGGGAGAACATATCTTTCTTTTCATATGTGAGGTACGAAAACAGAAGAAAAAAAGAAAAAAATCACCTTCTGATAATTCATTTGAAACTAGCTCATTTTGTCCACTAGTAATTTTCTCCTTTCAAAAGATAATAAGACTCGTTGAAAAGATGTCCAATTTACAGTCTCAAAGATTTCTGACACCTTATTTCATCACAGCTGAGGATGTAGTAGATGAATGAGTAATGATGCGTGCGGGCTAGGATCATCTATTTGATTGATATGTTTCGAACTGATTACACAGCACACATAGATCTCATTTCTTGGGAAGGTCAGACAAATTACAAAGACACAGCAAACAGAATTCTTGTTCTGTAGTCTCCACTGCACTCTGATTTGCCACTATGATTTAAGTAAGTCAAAAATTTCTAGTAAATAAAAATAAGAACATCTTCCATTATGATTATTAGTTACCATGTAACACACTATTTAAGATTTGAGGACTTACCTGAAACTATTTAGCTACTTTGTCAACATGATCAATCAGTATTAGAAATCTGTCACTAGTTTTATTTCAGCTTCCAACAACTATAGGAAGTTTTTTGCTTTTTCAGGATCTCAATGAAAACCTCCAAATATTGTAAATCTTTTTCCTAGCTTTTTGAGGTATTTTTCCTCAATGAAGTTCAAATACAGCATGTCACATTATTTATTCCCCCTCAATTTATCCTTTTGCATTACTTCTGAAATGCAAATCACTAGTGCCATTTTAATAATATGGAAATTAAACCTATACTAAAATATATTATGAATTTATGTGTGAAACCACAGGCAGTGGTAGTAATCTTAACACAGATAAGCACAACTGTGACTGGGAACTGGAGTTAGTCCTAGTCCTACTATAAACCTTTTTTGTGGCTCTATATTAAGTAACCACCATCCTTTTCTACTAGTTACTTTCCCGTTTCTTATACTGAGCCTGAATGGCTTCGAGGAAGATAGCAGGTTCTCATACAATCTGTGTAGCAGCTTACAAAGCTACAAGTGTTACTACACTGCATCATAAAGTTACATTTACAGAAGAGAAGGGTTAATTCCATCCAGAAGGAAATTGAGGTATGTAATGGTTTCATATTAATGCAGATTTAAACACCAAGACTAACCAGACACACACCTGTCAACTCACAAAATGGTCTGCCTAAATCTCACTTCTGACATATGAATTACATTATACTGTCAGAAAGCCAACAACAAAAAGGAACCAAAGTTTCATAGAAGTCTCCAGCATATAATAGCTTAACATAAGCAAAAAGCAGAAGTGAGTCCTTACCATGTTTGCTGTTAGCAATCTCATTACACACATACAGCTACAGCAAGAATTTTAACAAGAATGCCACAGGTTCAACTTCATGGCATTCTTGTTGAGCATGCTAAAGAACAAGGAACCTGAAGAGCATCACATTAAGCTCAAAACAGAGCTCTACTCTTTCATGGAGAAACATGCCCTCTGGGAATCACATGTGAATAGGGCACAGCAGACACTGAGTATATGTTGAAGACATCTTTATCAACATTACAGAAAGAAATTCTGTATCAAGTAAAAGGACATAAAACATCAAGATAAAAAAGAATGAGGAGGAAGGCTGCTGCTATCATTCTGCCATAGTCATAAGTTTGCCAACCTCCATTTCATACCTCTCTGAACTCTGAAGCCTCCTCACCCTTCTGAGTAGCTGAATACAAATACAGCTATAAACTGTACGCACAAGCATTCATTTTGGTTTGTGAGTTTTTCTATTCTCTCTTCTCTTATTTATATCATTTATATTTTGTGCCTTTTTACACATTAAGCAGCCTAGAATGCGAACTCTGTTCTTCCATACTCAAACAAGCACCATTCCCATCTGACAACTAATGACCAATAATAATCCAACCACGATTTATAGTCTGCACTACTTATCAAAATAAACATGACTGATTTCACGAATGTTCTGAAAACGTTCCAAAGTTGCAATCAAAAGTTACTCATGCCATGTACCTTTTATTTTCCTGCTGCTTGGAAAAGCAGTGTATTTAAGGAGGTCCATCCAGAGAGTGAGAATTAAAATATTTAATTAATGACTGTAATCTTCATAATTTTACTAGCAAGTATCTTTAATATACACAAGATGATGAGTGATTAAAATCAAAAGATTAGAAAAGATGCAGTTTTGCAGACAAAAATCACAGAAGCAACTAAGTGACTTTCAGGACTAAAACACTAGAACTTCAAGTCCACTAAAGTCACTTGGATAATTGCAGTGAGTATAGTAACCCCAGTTAAAAATAACCAAAGTAATGCAAAGATTCAAACATCCTCAGAGTGTGATTTCACCATGACAAGCAAATTAAACCTGTTAATTTGATGCATACTGTAAGTATTATATACAAAGAAATATGTCAGTAAGGCTGAGACTAGAAAGCAACTTCTCAAGATTCAGGAAAATGTCAGAGTTACATAAGCAGTGCTGCATTTGGAACTGGTTTATAACTCATGAATCTTTCTTTAACTCTCTCCTCTCCTAAATCTCTTCCTTACAACACCTAATATTACGGGTCTAATTAATAAGCAGCCTTACTCTGCTTTTGTCTAGTTACTACTCATACTGCAGCACCATGTCTATATTCTGGTCATCAGGCACTGACAAAAGAATTACTAACAGCCCCAAGGGTGTTTCTACAACACTCGTCTCTATGGTGTCAAACTTCTTCGCAAACATGCAGCCACCTTCCCTATCGAACCATGAAATGAGAGATTTCAATTTTTAAACTATGGGAAGCTAAAAGAGAAGAAGAAAGAAAACACACTTTAGCTACATGTTCTTCTGAGACATTCCTTAATGCTTTACTTTCTAAAACTCTTGCTGTAGCTACAAGTGATACATCATTTTGCAAGTCACTGGAGATTACGAAGTCAAGTGTTCCCAAATCTGTGGGAAGTGGGTTTGTGTGTAATTTACACCTAGATACGAAATATATCCTTCAAGTAATGTGATTTCAGAAAAGGGGCAAATACAGCAGAGCGTTCGGTAGCCCTAACTACAATATTGACCCTCTTCCTGGGCCCACATCATTCACTAAGTGCCTTCTATCTTTTGTAACACAGAGGGAGCACAGGCCCCTCTTTCCTACATTAAGCCAGACTTACTTCAAGTTGGTCCAGCCTGTATAAAAAAACCACAAAATCTGTTATGTTTTCTTCTGAACAAAAATGAGAAATTATGAAAGAAAAAAAATAAGAAAAAGACTAAGTGGGAAGAACAATGATCACAACATAATAAATCAGCTTTTATAAAAGTAATGATTCTATATCTGAGTACTATTACATTCTAAAGAGTGAAAGGTGTTCTCACCAAAAAAACAGCAATTTGACAGGAGTAGGAGTATGCATTGATTATTTTTGTAATAGTCAGAAGACAGATATCTCTGTATCTTTCTCAGAGCATTTCACCAACTTCTGATAGACTCAGAGGCTGACAGGATATTAGAACTCACCGTATCATAGCACCAGAAGTGCAACTACAGATTTTTCTCATTTTATTCACAGAAACCACAGACTAGCACCATGGGTTTTGGTTTTTTAAGCAAGGAGCATAATCTTTCCTCATTGAAGAAAACCAGCAAAATGGTTTTTTCATAATTTGATATTACAAATAAGAATTAGCTTGAAGAAAGAAGCATGTAAATCACCTTAAGTCTCTCTTACAAACTCGGTGGGAGGGTGGGCATGGTGGCTAGTAGCAGCTGACAGGAATGTATGAAAGAGGGGAGGACAGACTTGGGGATAAAAGCTGAACTAACTTGATTTTTCCTAATACTCCGCACATTTCATCAGGCATTCTTTCATTCATTTTTGCAGTACTTCTAAAGGCATTGTAACTGTGTTACTACAATTCAGATCACAACATACACTGAACCCTGAATGGGCCTTTGGACACTACTGCAATTTAAGATCTTTAGTTGTTCAAAGGATTAATAAACATTTTCATCACATACAGAAAAACAATGTCAGCATCATACCTAGAAGAGAGGTCTCCTTTGCAAATGCTGCAGCAATAGCTGGGTCCAGTGCTGGCTGTCCATCACCAGAAGGAAGATCAGGACGGGTGTAGTCCCTGCTTTTATCGTTGTTGTACTTGACATTCAAATTCACCAATTTGGAAAAATCAATCCGTAGGGTACAGCAAGCATTATAAATATTTTGACCATCTAAGGCCTGGAAAAGGAATCACAATTCATTTAAAAGATACACAATACAGGTTGATCGCACAACTTTTTTTTAAACAAGGTCAGCATACAGGTATTTATCTGCCTTACTGTCTAGTTTAAAACCAATTAAGATTAAAATGCATTAACCTCTCAACATGATTCCAGGAAGCTCCATGTTTATTTCTTTCACCTAGGAACTGCTTATGCACCAAAGTGGCAAGAGATATTTTAACACAAATTTAAATTTTGTCTGTTTAATATAGTTAATGAACATGTATTCCATAGCACAGCTTTAATCCAGATATAATGTCATATAGATTTCTCAAAGGAAAAAAAACCCATTAAACTCAAATACTCTTTTACATTGAAAGCTGACCTGATGCAAAAAAGTAAAATCTAGACTTAACCACCATGTTAGACAGATATCTGTTAAAGCAGAATGTATACACTGTTCATGCATGTTCTCCTTTTCTCCTTAAAGGTAATTACTTCCAAAACTGAAACAAAAGCAACTTTAATGGCTAACCTGATGTTGCTAGCACCTTTTTTTTTTTAAAAAAAAATCCCATTTTCTCGATTAATTGCTACTCCTGAAAGAATGCCTATTAACAGTGACATTCACATGAACTCTTAACATGACACCACTTAGAACTCTCTAAGAACACTAAAAAGGAAAAATATATGTATGTGTTCTCCATCTTCATTATGCACCAGGCAAATTGATACACTTGGATTTTATTCCATTCATATTTTGGGCATACATACCTTCCTTTCACTTGAAGCACTAACAGTCAAATATGAGAGTTTTAAAAAAATGGAAGCTTTAGTAACAAAGTCAGCTTAATTCTTATTAAAATGCTAGGAAGTGAGGATACAGCTTATTGCTAAATATAAAAATACCTTATATATACACATAATAAAAAACCCCAACCAAATAAACCACACTTTCAAATATAAAAATCAGATCTTCTATTTCTCCCCACCAATGCTGGACTGAAATGTTGCCACTTCTGTACCTGAGTTTGCTCTTGCACAGCTAGATTGGTTACATCTACAATGCACTTCCCAACACATTCAGGTTCTGGTAGGACTTAATATTTTGAGCCAAGCACTGCACAAACCTAGTGTGCTACTGGATACAGAACCAACATAGCTATTTTCACACAGTGATGGATCTGGACACTGAGTATATATTGCAGACACCCCTCTGGAAAGTCTGGGCCAGCAGGGCTGTCCCTTCCTACAAAAGGTATTACCAGAGCTGATGCCTCCAGGGTTCATGAAATCACTTGAAAGAATGACCACCATCAGCAATCAATGTAAAAGAATAAGTCTGTCAGTATTATTAGAACTTCCAAGTTATGGGATAACAAAATAATACAGAAAAAAAGTATAGAAACTTGACAATCTAGACCTTGTATCAACACAAACTTAGCAATTAAAGAGAAACTTCTGTGCCTGAAACTCAGCTTAAGAAATGCTTTATAGAATACTGCCAGAGCAAAAATCTACTGTCCTTATTCACATAATACCAGCTGAGGACTAACTCTGTATTGCTGGGTGGTAGTGAGCACCACTATTACAGCACACAGAATTTGCTAGCTCTTTTATACACAGTGAAAAAGCAGAATCCAAGATTCCTAATGCTGGTACCTCAGAAAAGAATCTCACTTGAACTCTTACACCTAAAGAAGTACATACTGAGAATCAGTCATCACTTTTAGAAGACTTTTTATCTTCTAAAATCCACAAGGTATGGATAGAGGTACATCCAGTTTACACAGCCAGAGCTTACTTATTCTCAAAGACAATGCCATTGCCATCAAAGAAATATCCATTCACATAATGAAGAAAACTAGGTAAAAATGAGATCAAAAAGGCAGCAGCATCCTTCAGTTTTGTCCTAATCACAGGACCATGACAGAAAGCTCCAAGTCTTTAAAATATAATCAAGATTCATACTGTACATCTCTGTGGAGTCTGTAGACACACTGACTTACAGCTGGCAAAAGGCTGTTAAGTTGCTGAAAATCTTTTAGACTTAAGAAGTAGACAACCAAGAAATGCCTGTGTTTGTAGTTTCCAGAGTAGTCGACGTTTAAAGGTAGCTACGTAAGTAAAACTTCAACTGAAACACCAAAAACTCCTCTTTCTGACAAATTCAAAGCACCCAAAAGTACATACAAAAGGTACTGCACAAAAGAAATGCCTGGTTGTTGGGACACAGATAATCTGAAAGAACATCCTGAACCAGAAAGGAAAGGGGTGCACTCTTAATGAGCACTGCAGTCACACTTTGGGAAAGGCTCCCAGCACCAGGTCAAGACCAAAATTACCTTACCCCACCCAACTCTACCAGCATCATCATACACCTCTAACACCACCACAAGAAAGATTACCACCAACTAGCGTATTTTTCAGAGATTAACTGTTCACATAGACACAACTGTCAATGTGTGTGTCTTGAGCACCTTCTTGTACAGCAATAAAAGAATGTGCAACAAACCCTCAAACCCTGTTCCTCTGAGACAGGCATCCTGAAATGAGACCAGCCATACTGTTCGTGAATGTGCATACAGACATCTCAAAGAACTCTAATTACTGCTAAGAAACTTCTCTGAGTATTTATACACACATTCACATGTGACACCGTAGCACACCACACATGTGGAACCACCAAGGAGACCAAGTATCATAGGACCTCTCTATAAATGTATTATTCTTTATCTTTCCTGTGCCAGCACACCCAAAACCAAAGCCTCAAGAACAAAAGTATCAAAACTTATGTAATCATGCAGTACTAGAAGTGTACTAACAGAGTTTCCAGGCCCTGCCTTTCCTCTCTTCCACCTGTTACTAATAAGTAGCCTCCTCTTGGACTTACACAAGGGGGAAAATTATTCTGACAAGTTGCTCATTAAGAATCAATCAGGAATTCCCAAGAGCTTGTCAGCAGACAGATTTCTGAAGAAACATGTTGTGGTATTTAGGAGCACACAAACCAGACGGCTAGTAAGAACATGCAGAAAACCAACAGAAAACAGCAATTCAAGAACAAACAAAAATCCCTTTCTCAGTTCAGACTGACAAAAGAGAAAGGCACATGCCTGAACTAACACAATGACCTCAACTCCACAGCGCAAACACTATCATCCATACAAGTTTCTCTGTGACCACATAAGATTGTTTTTGGGGAGGGGAAAAAAACCCACCTTCACAAAAAACCAACCCAAACCAAAAAAAAACCCCTCACACCAAAGAAAGATGACTCCAAGTAATCAAGTGTGCTACATGGTTCTACATCAGCCACAGCACTTAAAGAAGGGAGCAAATTGCAACCCCCAATACTTGTAGACATTCCAAAATAGTAGAGCTGTCTGGAAAGAAGCTAGTATTCCTAGACAACTACTATAGTAGAAACATTCAAGACATTCAGAAAGGGCCTTAACAACCAGGGTTATACTCACAAAGTGTCTATAATCTGCTCATGTCTCAAGGCATGAATAAGAATAAGCAAGCAAGCAAGGCTAACACCACAGAAAATGGCATAAATAGTCTGGGAAGTCATAAGGATCCAGAACAGAGTTCTATGACTGTCAATTACATACAGCAGAAAAGACCATACAGGGAATATCAGTGAAATGGAGGTCTGCACCACAAAACACAATATTCTCCCATTTCTTGAAAATAATGTCAAAAACTATCCTCTCTTTTTGCTCACAGCAGTCAGAAGGATGAAGAAATGAAAACTGCTAAGAAAAGATGCCACAGATTATGAGGTGAGGCAAAAGACTGTTCCAATATGGGGGAAAAAAAAGGAAAAGTTCAATATACAGTATTAGAAAATTTTCTGATGCTGCAATCAACCACACTAAAACTTTTCTGCAAAACAATAAGTAATTCTATCTAGCCAACATGGACACAATACAAGGATCTCTCATTTCACAGCACGACTGTGGATATTGAAACAAGTGGTAACAGCAGCAGAGGTAATCTCAGTTAGCCAAAGCACTCTACGAAGTTACAAAATGTTCCAACATCCTGAATCAGTCATGTAGCTTGCTGCAGCTAAGAGTCAGATCTATCAGTAGGCTCCATAGTGGAGGAAGAACACTCCTAGAATGATTTCCTCACTCAGGTTTTCCTTACCTGAACGAAGGAGTTTTTGAATTCTGATAGAACTCACTGCTTTTATTCACATTTACAGGGTTCAAGATGCCTGAAAATCCTTGTGAAGGAAGAGTCCCTTGGAAAGTGCTATATTCATAGGAACTATGTTTTAATGAACTTCTCCCAAGGCCTTACAGACCACTGGTGAGTGGACTGAAACCCCCCTAAAGGAGATGATCATGGTACCCCTCTAAAGATCAGGAAGAAATATGCCACTTAAAATATTCTTTTGCCAATTCACACAAGGTACCTATAAGACTGACAACACAGTTTGGGAAACAGAAAATGATTTGGCATTTTGATGCTCTCATTTCCCAGTTTAGAAACGCAGTCCAGAGATTTGGCTAGCAGGTGCTTCTGGAGACACAAGACTTCAAGGCACAACAAATAGTGTATCTGCCCCTCACTTTGTCAAGGACTGTAGGTATCAGACATGATCATCCAAGACCAAAAGTAGATCTCTTCAAGGATGAGGGGTGCTTGAAAGCATTTACAAGGTCCAATAAAGAAAAATCAAATTAGAGTGGAGGAAAAAATATGTGGCAAAGAACAGCAACACAACAAAACCACTGCCTTCTCTCCATAATCACAGGGAGGAAAAAAAATGCAATCCTTACAAAATATACTCCAGCTCAAATAAGCACCTCAAAGTAACTGAAGGTCATATGGTAAATATCTCTTGGGAGAAATGTGTCCCAAGTGCGTTCTACAAATATGCATCTGAATGAAATTAGTTTATTTTGAGACAAGTGTCTTGATACAAGAGGTTTCTGTGGCTAAAAACCGTATACAAAACACTGCATTTTCAAAAATTAAGCTATTTTTTATGTGCAGTTCCTTGAATGAAGGACCCTTTGCATACCTTATTATCTTCTACAAAATTGGATAATTTGAGAGACAAACACCTTTGCAACACTTCTTGGGCTTTCTGATGCAATGCCATACAGCATCCTTCTATTTACCTGAACTGAGTACAAATTGTGCTCTTTAATATCAGAGATGTCAAATTACTTAATACAGTAATAGCAGATAACAGCCCTGAAGCTAAATGTCTTATCTGGAGATGTCCTTTCTTCCATTCTGCAATGACTACCTGAAGTTCCTATTACAGAGTTTAGGGCAATGTCGCCTAGCAGAGATCTTTTGTAGACTGCTACGAGTGCAGAGTAACCATGAAGCTGTCAGTCAAAACAACTGGAAAGATGGTATCTTCAATGTAGAGTAAAACCTCACTGGAATCTCTGTAAAGGTACTCTGACAGTACTGATTGGCCAAGTAAGGATCAAATGGCCAACTCTAACAGAAACTCTCAGTTAGACTAGTGATATTTTAAACACGTGTTGAGTCAAGATGACTATCATGCACTACGTATGAGTCTCAGTAAATCCTTCATAGACAAGACATTAATAACTTAATATACATGATTTGGCAAAGATACTTTGGGTGCATTTACACAAAGGCAACACTCTGTCTCAAGGAGCCAGCTTTTCAGACAGAAAGATCAGCACTCTAGTCTTACCATGGTGTACCAGACCACTGGTATTCAAGTATTTAAGTTTGCTGCTTATGCTGAGAGTACTGATAATTTCCAATGAAGATGAGCTATTTTTGATGCTTAGAGTATCTCCTTACGCATACAGATAACTCCAGGAAAAAACTTCTGCTTTATTAGGAGAACAGTAGTAGTTCAACAGCTCTGCTTTTGCACATTCTTGGTTACTTTCTCTGCCCCTGGCTAGAGTGCTGCATTATACAGAAGCTGAACTTTGCAGGCTTCATCCTTACTTGCCAGTATAAGGAACCTATAATGATCCAATCTGAGAGTGGTGATGAAACATGTATCAGTGTAGCCACAATCTACTTTTACAGGAAATGA